ACCGGTTTGGCTGCATTGTGAGGGCTGGATATGGGTAGTGAGACAGAAGTCAGGGAGGCCAGGCAGAAGTTTACTCCAGCTGTCTTGGTCAGAGATAATGAAGGCCTAAACCAAGACAGAGGCAGATATGGGGGCAGGTAGGCATGGCAAGACTTGGCCATCAGGTTGGTGAGAAGTGAGGGAAGGAATGATCCCTAGATTTCGAGCTGAGGTGTCTGTTGCTCTCTGAAATGGAAGATACAAGAGGAGGTGGCTCATGAAGGGTAGGGAGAAGATGGTGGGTTCATATGGGACATGCTGGTTTGATGTTTTGGGAATGTCCAAGAGGACATTGGCTACATGCTCAGGAAAGCAGTCTGAATTGGAGACCCAGATTTATGTCATTTTATTGGTGGATGTTGAAACCATGGAATTGGATAACATTATCCAAGACAAGCCTGTAGCTTCTTCTGAGGAGACCAAAGACAGAACCTTGGTAATCACCAATTTAAGGGGTACAGCAGAGAAAGAGGGGACAGCAAAGGAGTTAGGAAAGAACTAAAAAGCTGGGAAGGAAGAGAGATGAGAGGCGTCTGTCATGGGAGCCAAAGGAACAGTTTGCAGAAGAAAGAGATTGATTGGTCAACAGGGTCAAATGAGATGAGACGAAAAGAAGGCCACTGGGTTTGGCTATTAGATCACTGGTGGCCTTTGCCTGGGCTATTCTGCTAGAGGGGCTGGGACGGCTGCCATGCTGTAGGTGGCTGGAGTAGAAGAGAGAGGTAGAGACTCTGAGCTCACTAAAGTAGGGACTAGGCTTCCTTCACTGGTGCCGAGTAAAGCTAATACATCCGTTAAATGAGGGAGTGAATAAACTTGGATTGAAAAGGAAGAAGGGTGGGATATGCAGTGGCAGAGTGAGAAACAGGGTTCATAGAGTGTTTTGTTTGAAGATGTTCATAGCCTGTAAGGAGAAAAAAACCCCAAAACACTAAAGAGGCAGAAGGCGAGAATTCTGGCTGGGACCTAGAGTTCAGGTGCTTGGGCAGGAGGAAGGAGGGCCACTTCCTCAGGCTGGAAGTTGATGAGGGTGGGGACAGCCATAGATAATGCTGGTGAAATTTTGTGCTGAGAGGAACAGAAGCAGGGTAGGAGTTTCCAGGAAAGTGCTTGGAGTTTTATTCATTCATTCCATTAATTTTGAGTACTTCCTGTGCTGTGGAAAACAGCAGCTCACCAGGGACCGGTAGGATGACCGAGTGCCACTGAAAGCCCGGCTGAAGTCCCCAAGCAGTCAGCTACCTTCCTTAAGCAGGATTCAGCTCCAGTACCCCAAAGGACAAAGCTAATTGTAGGAGGAAAAAGGAAGTGGCAGACTCTACCCTGTGGTTGCTAATGGAGCTGCTGCCGGTTGGAGTTGTCTTTGGGAACACCCTGGGACAATTCCTGGAACCGTCCCTTCTTGCCTAGACTCTGGCTCACTCCTATTCATGACTCCAGATTCAGCTCCTATTATGCTTCTTCCAAGAAGGTCACCCCATCCCTATCTCAGTAGGTGTCCTTGTTCTGTCCTCCCACAGGCCTTCGTCCCCACCATTTCCCTCCCTGTCAGTGTCTGCCTCACACTACTGTCATGCACTGTTCCACAGACCTCTCCGGCCTCTCCCCTCCTCATGCCCTCCCCCAGCCCCTTGACAGCAGGTACTGTTGTGTCGTTCTTTTAATCTCTGCATCTTCTGGGGACTGCACCTGGAGCTTCTCAGGAAATGCTTTTTGAATGAATGGTATGGGGAGGGGGGCTGCTGTTACCTCTCTGTACTCTCTCAGATATAAACAGGTTACCCAGCTGGGGGAGAGGACATCTGCTGGGTGGTGTGGCGTCCAGCACTGACGCATCTACCTTCTCCTCTGAAGGTGGGTCTGTCTGGGGGAATCTCTGGCCCCAGGGGTCCCCACCACCCCTCACCTGGTGGTAGGCAGGAGGGAGGAAAGTGTTTGGTCCTGAAGGGGTCACCCAGCTGCCCTACCCTGAGACCCCTCCTTGTGCCAGAGAGGGCGGGCCACCCCTTCCTGGAAGCCACAATCACCCCTTTCCTTTGTACGGCACTTTATGTATGGTGCACCAATATCTTTGACACATGTAAACTGAGTCCTCCCAACAACCCTGCAAAATAGGTATTACCGTCATCCCCATTTTGTGAATAAGGAAATGAAGGCTCAGAGAAGTAAAGTAACTTGCCCTAGGTCACCCAGCTAGACTTGGACCCAGGCCTGACTACAAGTTCAGAGCAGTTGCCACCCTGCTGCCCTTTGCTCCAGTTCAGCCGTGCTGGAGAAAGCCCGAGGTGGTGGTGCAGGACTCTTACTCCCCCTCCCTGCCTCTTATTTCCCTGAGATGGAGAAAGGGCATGGGAGGAAAGGAAGCAGAAAGGGAGGCCACTAAGTGGATCAGGGGTGTATGGGGGACCCAGGCCCCCCAGAGCCTGGTGGGGGGGAGGGAAGGGGAGGAAGAATGTAGGGAAGGCTCAGACCAAGCTGCTGTCTCATCTCTCAAGAACTTTAAGGCCACTTGGAGTAACACACCCCCAGCCTGATTAGCTACTAGCTGGTGGCCAGTATGAGGTCTTGCCCCAGTTCCACCCCTTGTAGGGGCTGGATAAAGGCACAATCCTCCTGGCCCGTTTGGAGGGTTAGCCAGCCTTGGCACCCCAAGCTGGGCTGCCCTGGAAGTTGGGAGTGCCCGCCCCCTTCCTCCAGAGCCCCCTTCCTCCTCTGGGAGCAGGCGGAGCTGGAGTTCAGGGGAAACCTCCAGGAAGGTGCCTTGTCCTCTCGGCACAGGGAATCACTTCCTGGGCTTGTTTTAGATGGTGGCCCAAGGGGAGAGCCACTGGTAGACTGGGGCCTTAGGCAGGGTCAGAGGTGAGGCAGTGAGGGTGGAGGTGGGAGACACCAGTGTGTGCACAGGGCTTGCATTCAGCTGAGCAGAAGAGGTAGGAACCTTTCTTCAGGCCTTTCCCCTAATCCCCAGGCCTCTCCACAGCAGCTTCTCCCCTGTGCCCTGGGACATGGTATCTGTGTCGCCTACAAGGGGTGGACTGTTTTAAGTCTGTGGCTCTAAGACTGGGGACAGAGAATGGATGGGGAATGGGAACTTGATGAGTAAAGAGAAGGGAAAGAATCAAGAGTGAGCCTGGGAAAGGGGAGAGAAGTGAGAGTGAGAAAGGTGTCAGAGGGAGAAGAGAGAAGGAGGGAAAGGGAAGAGTTAGCAGGAGAAGCCAAGGAACATGACACACTGGAGGCTCAGGCCTAGCTCCCCTCCAGGCTTGAGCTGTCATGCTGCAGCAGGCCCTGGGGATGGAGTGGCTTCAGAGGCTGTGAGAGGTCGGACACTGGCCTCCTGGGCCTGTGTGGGGCAGGCGTAGGAACTGAGGATGCTGCTGCCGCCAGCTTTAACTGCTGGGGACTCTGAAGTGGTGCTCCCGTCTGCCATGGCAAGAGGGCCCTCCCTTACCCAGGTACTCTGTGCAGTGGGGTAGCTGGCAACTCCGAGCACTGGGTGAGGGGCAGGCAGGAGTCAGCAGAGGGCCCTGGGAAGGAAGGTAGGCTCCCACAGAAGGCAGGGGAGGGGAAGAGGCAGGTGTCACAGGACAGCAAGGGGGACTTGGTGAGACACTGTCCAGGAGTCTGCGAGGGGCAGGCAGAGTCACGCCGTGCACTGGGGAGAGGAGAGCGCTGGACTGTTACTACTACTCAGCAGTAGAAGCAGCTGTGGGGGGAATTCCCGGGCGGTCCAATGGTTAGGACTTGGCACTTTCACTGTTGGGGCCCAGGTTCAATCCCTCGTTGGGAGAACTGAGATCCCACAAGCTGCATGGTGCGGCCAAAAGAAAAAAAGAAAAAAAAAAACAGCTATGGGGGAGGGCGGGACGATGGTGGCAGCAGGTGAACTTGGTGAAGCCTTTATATTGAACTGTGGGAAGGGAGATCAGATATGTTGCCGCTGCTGCGCAGTGCGACCCACTCTTACCCCAGACTCCTACCCCATCAGGTGAATTCAAGGACACTGACAGGTGCTGCTGGAAACACAGAAAGTGCACCAGGCACATCATCCATCCCTTCACCTCTGACTATGGCCACCACGACGTGCACCTGCACTCTATCAGCCACTGTGACTGTGATTCTAGGTAAGGGCCCTCCTCCTTGGGAGACCCACAGCCCAGGAGAGACTCCTGCGTAGAGCCAGATCCAAAATTTTCACTGTGGTTCCCTGCTTCAACTTTGACCTGGTGCTACCAGCCCGGCCCCAGCTTTTGTAAACCTGGCTTGTGTTCCAGGAGCCACGGGGAGGTCTTTTGGCAGACTGGGCTGAACCCAGTGGAAGCCTGCTGTCCCTCAGGCTTCTTGCTCTGGGCCCCTGGGGAGTCATGGAGGCAGGGGAGCCAGCCTGAGTCCCCTGTGTGGCAGGCTGAAGGACTGCTCAGAGAAGACATATAGCAGTTCCAGAGATGTGGGCCTAACCTGCTCCCAAGATGTGGACTCGGCCTGTTTCAACATCATCCAGTGCCCATGCTTTGAGCTCATCCCAGAGGGAGAGTGTGTGGAGCGGTTCTGCTGTGGCTGGTGAGTGCCGGCGGGCCGATGGGGGTCACTGGCCCCCACACTCCGTCAACCATCTTTCCCTGTTCTCTTCTCCCCCGGGTACAAAAGCTACAGGCCTGTCTCTGTGGCAGTGATCCACCATCCCATCCACTGTGAGTGCGGGGCAGATGACCTAAACCAAGAAGAGGAAGAGGAGGAGGAGGAGGAGGAAGAGGAGGAGGAGGAGGAAGAAAGCAAGCCTCCCATCCCGACCCAGGTGGGGCCCCCTGCCCTCCCCACCAACACAGGCATGGGCATGGTCACAGGTACCCCTGACTTAGCAGCTCCCATCACCATCTGGCGTTCCGAAAGCCCCGCGGGGAAGTCCCAGGGCAATAAGGTGATCAGGAAGATAAAGAAGAAAAAGGAAAAAGAGAAAGACAAGGAGGAGGAGAAGGACGAAAAAGCAAAGGTGAAGAAAAAAGTCAAGAAGGGCAAGTTGACTAAGAAGAAAAGCCCAGTTAAATCAGAATCACCTCCAGACTTAAGCCGATCGTTAAGCCCAAGAGAGTTGGCCAGGATGTCAGAGTCCAGCCCAGACAGCCGGCGAGATCTGGAGAGTGAGGACAGTTACAATGACCCTGGGTGGGAGGAACCCTCCAGTGAGGATATTGTGGAGTCTTTATCACCCAGGAAGAGAGAGAAGAACGGGGTCCAGGCCAAGAAGCCCAGGATGAAGACCTCGTCAGTCAAGAAGGTCAACAAGAGGAAATCTCCCCCAGCATCAAACCCCAATCTCAGTTGAGGCCAGGGCGAAGAATAAATGTGATCAAACCTGTAGCTGACCCCCTGCTTCTCTCTCCCTCCAACCTGGCTATTTCGGGGAGGGGGGGAGGGGGGGAGGGGGCAGCTTCTGGGCATAACTGGAGCCAAGGGGCTAAGGAGCTGCAGGTGTTTCTGAAGGGCAATCCATCTTTCAAGAGGAAGCCCAGAGAAGGCAGGTGGGAGGGCAGGGAAGGGGCACAGCCTGGTTCTCTGTAACATCCTAGGTCCAGGGCAGGAGAAGAGCACCTCTGGGTGGGAAGGAGGCTTCCTGTCTACTGGGAGACAGGTCTGTGCAAAATCCACTTGGTGATAGGCATTGTGTGCAGTGATACCACTAATAAACTGAAACTTTTAACCCACTCTGTGCTGCCTTGCCTGGCATTTCCCTACTCTAAGTGGCCCTGGGGCAGGTGCTGGTGGCATCAAGAGGAACATGATGAACCTTCCCAGCTGGTGTGGCCCTGCTCCTGCTAGGCCCTTCTAGGCCTTTTGTGCTGAAGGGAAAGGAACTGAATTCCTGTCAGAAGGCCAGCCCCTTCCCCCAACTCTTGCCAACAAACAGCCAAAGGGATCTTGAATGAAGGAAAGCAAGGCGGGAAGCTCTCCAAGTTTGGGCAGCAGTGGCCTTTTCTGACTTCTCTGCTGAGCCCCAAGCAGAGGAAAGGAAGGGGGAAAGCTTTGCTTTCCCAGAGCTGACAGGCAAAGCTCTGAGGTGAAGCCCTAGTGAAGAAACACAGGGAGATCAGTCCAGAACAAAAGAGGCAATGGGGCTGGGGGAAGTGACTAGTCAGCTCTCTTCGTCAGGGCTGTGTGTGTGTGGGACCAGGTGAGTGGGGGGCCCATCCTGGGGGAGATACACTTGACTCATGTGGAGGTACTGTCAGATACCAAGGCCCAGCCAGCAAAAAGGGGAAAGAGAGGTGCAGGGTTCAAGTGGAGACACCCAGATTGACTTGTGGCCTTTCTCCCATGTGCCAGAGAAGACTAGAAGGCACAGTGGATGGGGTGGCTGTGTGTGAGTGTAATAGCAGCTGCTAACATTTCCTGAGGCCTGTGAGGTCCCAGGCACTGGACTTAGCACTTCACACATTCTTTCTTAGTCCTCACAGCTGCCCTGCTGAGCTAGGTATCATCATCTCCATTTTACAGATAAGAAAGCTGGCTTAGAGACAACAGGACCTTGCTCAAGGTCACAGGGCTGGGAAGTGGAGCAGGGATGTGACCTAGGCAACATGGTACAGAAGCCACCTGCTTCTCTCTAAGTCCCTGCCTCTCTGATGGCCTGGAAGAGGGAGTCAAGGGAGCCCTCAGAGCTCCAAACACTGCTTTGCAAGCTCCCCCTCAAGAGGGGGAGACTTGGAGAGAGGCTTTGCCAAGTGCTCTGTAGAAACACTGTTTATTCAAATGACGGGCAGGAAGCGTGGCAGCAGGGGGTAGGGGCAGCCAGGTGGGACTGGGCAGGTTAGCACTGCTCCCCTACGTCCCTTGTGATCCTGCTTTGATAGCCACCCAAGCTGTTGGTATCGGTCAGAAATACCTTCCCTCCTCTCTCCTGTCCCAAACTGAATAAATAGCATTCATCTCCCCACGAGAGCTGGGGGAGACTCACGTGCTGAGCTGGGGCTCCATCACAGCCCAGAGTCCGGTGAGAGCAGAAGCTCAAGATGGCTTGTAGGGAGTAGAACACAAAACTGTCCCACTCTCATTTTCTTCTTCCTCTTCTTCCTCCCTGCCACACTCCCTTCCCAGCCTGGTCCCAGGACAGGTGGTCGGTGAGGACCTGGAGTGGGAGTATTGTTGCCTAGCGTATACTGAGCTCAAGTGTGCAAGGCCATCCAGACTGTCACCCATCCAGGCTGACCACCAAAGAGAACGTCAATTCACTCCACTTTATGGACAGAAAAGGAGGGGCAAGGAGTGAGGCAATGGGCAGCCAGGCCTCTCCCAGCCTCAGAGGTAACCAGAGTCCTAGGAGCAGGCCCCCTACCGATCCATCTCGTCCAGGAGTGGGGTGGCGTCGCCAGCAATAGACATGGGGGTGCTTTCGATCATAGGGCTGGGGGAGGGCCGAGGTGTCAGCCGCTGCTTCTGTTTCCGCCGTTCTGCCTCCTTCTCCTGAAGCCACTGTTCCGCCATCTTCCCCCAGTCGATGGCTGCATGGCTGTTGGACCTGAGAGGGAGAACAAGGGCCTTTGAGACTGGGACCCTCTAGAAGAAAGCCTTCCCAGCAATCACTGGTGAGCGTCCATTCTTGCAGAAATGGACCTCGCCTCTATGGACAGCAGCCATGGCCAGCTGCCACACTGTGTTCTTCCCTCTTCTCCCAGAAAGCAATCCTCCTGGGGACATCACCTGGGTCATGGCTGTCAGAAGATCCAGAGCACCTCCCTCTACTAATAACCTGTTCTGTGCTACCATCTGTATACTTACTTTGGCTGCTGCTGCCGTTGCCGGGAGCTGGAGGAGGGCTGGGGCTGGGGCTGGGCAGACTGAGGGGTGGTGCTGGCCTGTAGCTGGTGGTACTGTGGTGTGGTGATGGGCTGGCTTGGGGTTGTGTAGGAGTAGCTGGGGGTCATTAGTGGCGTGGCCACTGGCTGCTGGGCTGGCGTCGGGAACACCTGGAGAAGGGTGAACAGTTGAATTGGGACAGGTTTTGTGCTTATTTGGTTTTTCTGTGAATTTCTGGCAAGCTGAAAATTTGGGCTCCATCCAGAGCCTTCCAGCTGACCCTCTCCTGAGCAGTGTGTGGTTCTGAGCAGCAGAGGCAGGCCAACACGATGGGACCTGGCACCACAACACAGTGCACCCTTGACCACTTGAGGTTGCTAGAGGCTTGAGGATTCTAAAGATCCCGAAAGACTCTGTGGAAAGGTCAGAACTTCTCTCATTCCCTTTCCCCTTAAATGGGCCTGAGAAAAAGGAACATCTGCTGGAGACAGTTCCTAATGCTGTAGTAGCACCCTCTCCTTATGAAGGCCCTCATGGTGGGCACTGCAGAGGCCAGTCTATGGACACAGGTTGGTGAAGGATGACCGTTCCCTTTCACCCTTCCCCACCCTCTGCAGGGAGCCTCGTCCCCAAGCCACGTACATGGTAAGCGCTGCTGCCCCCTCCACTGCCGCCATAGCCATACTGGCTGGAGGCCCACTGCGCTGGGGTGGCATTAGGGTTCTGGCCTTGGCCTGTCACGGCAGCAATGGCACTGAACACCTGTGATGTCATGTTCTGGGGCAGGGCGTTCACAGCCCGTGTCAGATCTGTAAGCACACAGAGGTGGGAGATGGGCAAGTTAGAGGTGACAGTCCTTCTAGCTCCATCCCTCTTACCCCCAGTCCCTGGCACGAGCTCCTTACCTGCAAGGTTGATGTTGGCTGGGGTAGCATTGATAGAGGCAGGTGTCCGGGTCCTGCTGCTGCTACTGGGGGTTATGCCTGTAAGAAATGGCCCAAATTACGTCTCACCAGAAACCTACTTCTGGTTTTACAACTGGGGGGCTGGGAGAGGTACTGAGGTGGGTGGAAAGAAGGGAAGCTGGGGGGATTCCCTGGCGGTCCAGTGGTTAGGACTCTGCGCTCTCACTGCTGAGGGCATGGGTTCAAGCCCTGGTCGGGGAACTAATATCCCACAAGCCACGTGGTGTGGCCAAATAAATACATAAATTAAAAAAAAATAGGGAAGCTGTACAGGCAAAGTGGAAGATGGAATAGGAATTAAGAGAACTACAATGACAGCCTAGGCCTCAGCCCCTCCTGTAGAAGGCTAGTGATTATCTTGACTCAGCACTTAGGTGTCCCTCAACCACACTCCACAAGTCAGAGAGAGTAGAACTCACCTGGTACAGGATCCTGATAATGATCCTTAAACCATCTGAAAAGGCCATTCACAGTTGGGAAGATTTGGCCCCGGTACCGGAATCCTTCTGGAGTCACTGTTACATATTCTATCCTGGGATTTTGGGAGGAAACGTGCATCAGATACCACTTGTGGCCAGCTGCAAGAGAGCGGCCAGAGCAGATTTCCACCATGTGAAGTAGCCACACTGGGTGCTGGGGGAAAGGAGAGATAAAAGAGCCAGTCCCTGACCCTGTAAAAGGAGGCTGCACTCGGTGAGGTGAGGAGGGCACAGCAGAGTCCAGGCAACGCCAGGAGTCAGCAGTCCCTGGTGTGCTATGTTCAGGCTGCCAGAAGAAGCCTTGCTGGGGGCTGGGCCACCGTCCTGCGCTGCAGTATGTTGGCAGCACACTGCAGGTGAGGGTTACTGAGATCAGAGTGTCAGGGTTGGGAGGGACCTCCCAGGGCAGCAAAGCACAGCTCCCCACGAGCCGGAATCTGGAAGTGCTTCTTGACGGTGGTTGGTCTGCCCTTATTTAACACTTTGCCAGAGCAGAGAGTGGATCAGAGGATGGGCTCTGGGTTCAGACCCAGTCCTTGTTCCAGTTTTGTCTCTGCCACTCATCACCTATATGGCTTTGTACCAAGTTACTAAACCTGAATCTCGGCCTCATTTGTAAAATGAGGATAACAGCACTTAAACCTATAGCGTGGGTATGAGGAATAAATGAGACAACACATAAAGCACTTATCACAACACTTAAAACAGGTTGTGCTCAATAAAGGATAGCTGTCAACAGCCAACAGTCAACGCTAGTAAGCATGGCAATGTGCTGACTCATATTAAGCTGAAACCTGCTTCCTAGATCTTCTACCCAACTGTTGTTCAATCTGCACCACAAGGAGTTTGTACCCCTTTCCACGGGATGCTATCATATTGCCTCTGCTCCTGGTTAAAGTCCCCTGTTGGTTCAATTGTTGCTCATGGGATAGTTTCCAACCACCACATGGCCCTGGCTGCCATCTTCTGGAAGCATGCTGGTGAGTCAGAAAAGGATTCTCAGAAACAAGCACAATATTCCATAAATGCCCACGATGGTGCAGGGTCCAGCGTCCAGAGCTTCTTGTCCTCTGGCCTCTGAGCCCCTC